AATTAAAAATAGAAAATAATATTAAGAAGTTAGTAAAAGCCAACTGCTTTGTGCTGCATAAATCAGTAATCCTATAAAGGCCATTAATTCAGGAAAGCCTGACAGAGCTTTTCTTGTTGCCTGTGTGGTTCATGCTTTTCAATGATGTATTACCAAAAAAAGCAGGACTGCCTGGAAATGTGGATGCGGGTAATGCTGGTGATTTTGCTAAAGTCCTACTGTATGAGACATTCCTTCTAGTTCTAATACTAGCAATTCTCAGAACGAGTATTTTTACCTTGAATAAAATTCATCGTTGATTGCTGGTTTCCATATGTGATGATTATCGTGTAACGTATATTCATCCAGCTGCCATTCCTTCTCATCCCATTTCAAACGCTCGTCTTCCCAAGACTAAATTTCAACTGTTTTATAAAAAATTCATGGAAACAAATGTCAGAATTTCCAGCCGGTAACAAAAATTTTGCCGGTATTGATGCAAATCTTTGGCATCCAACTTAGTATAGAAAAGTCTGATTTGGTTACGATCAGTGTGTGGTTGCACCTCAGTATCCACTAACATGGAAAGCCCATACTGACTTTTGAGCCTGATTTTTATAAAGGGCAAACACCTGAAAGATGAGGAATGAGCTTCCAAAAATCGCCGAATTGGATCTGAAAAGTGGTGAATTTTAAAAAAGGGACTAACCACATACAAATCACCATAAAGACTGAATTGCGATGAAAGTTTGTGCGTCTGAAAACAATTTAATAACAAAATCCGCATGTGAATGGAAACGAAGTTGAACATTCACACAGTCGGCGCTTTTCAAGAATTGGCCCATGTGCGGTAAGTACTTACTGAAGATATGTAACTCAGAATCAAAGACCTAACATAGCTGCGATCGACGCGTGGAGGTACTTAGTAATATCACTAACACGGAGTATGGAGATTGATCATCAAGAAGGTTTCAGCAATTCCAGAACACTATTAATGCTACTGTGATATTAATTATCGATAAATGATAATTTTTCGATAAGCATAAATTGTCAACATATCCACTAAAATATTGTTTTCTTATTAAAATTTGACTAAAAATGTCTATATTTCATCTAAACAAATTAGATGCTCTCAAGTTTTATTGGAGGTAACCACTCGTAGTTGAAGTGCTAGAATTCATATCATTTACGTTAGAAAGAAGATCT